ATCGTCCGAAACGGGGGTTTCAAATGCAACGGTAAGCCGCCATTTAAAAAAGCTTAATGTCCGAAATATACGACCCAGATCATTTGTCAGCCGCCCAAGATCAACAACGTTCTGTAAAATTTTACTTCAAAATTCAAAATATGATAGATTTTGGAAGAGAATTGTAACGAGCGATGAAAAACGGATACTTTCAAAAAATCCTATCCACCGAAAACAATGGGTACCGCAAGGCCAAGAGGTTCAAGCAGTGGTTCGCCAAGTTCGATTTGAAAAAAAAAAAAAAGATTACGCTTTGTGTTCGGTAGAATCATGACGGTTTGTTGCACTTTGAGCTTGTTCAGATGGCAGGGCTATTGGCGCAGAGCTTGAGAACAACTCGTTCACGTTTAAACAAGAAAATTTTTCAGACTTTGCCATGATGTCCACCCTCCTTACGCCTTGATGTCGTACCGTCTGACTTTGGTCTTTTTCGGTCAACGGTGCATGTTTTGAAAGGCCGGAACTTCGAAAACTACGAGGATGTCAAATTAGGGTGTGAGGAGTTCTTCACCTCGAAAACCGAGGACTGGTGTCACCACCAAATACAACTTCTGGCAGGTAGTTGGTTTAAAGTAGTTAAATGACGGCCTAAAAAAAGAAAGGGCCACCTTAATCTGCAAACTTGCAATGAAGAGTGAATCATGGCCTCGGTGGGAGAGAAGTTTGATCTCTGAACTGGACTTTATAAATTCAATTGATATAACACTTGAACATTTTAACTGTTAATATATAAATATATTTAAAATTGTACATTTTGAGGAATAATTGTTATGTTTACATTTTATACTGAAATTCAATATTTTTCGTGGTCCGCTTGACCAATTAATATCATTCAATTAATTAAGGTTTTTAGTTGAGATAAAAAAGTCAGTGTCACGAGCGGGATTCGAACCACCACCTTCGGCTTGATACGCCGCTACTCTACCACTTGAGCTATCCAGAAATTCACGATAGCTCAAGTGGTAGAGTAGCGGCGTATCAAGCCGAAGGTCGTGGGTTCGAATACCGCTCGTGACACTGATTTTTTATCTCAACTAAAAACCTTAATTAATTGAATTTATACTGAAAAATGAAATTTAAATAAAACTTAATTTATGCCCAAAGACTTTTGTAACGTCCTAGTATGTAGTTTTTTCGTTTTATTAATAACAACATACTTATTTTAATGTAAACCAAATTAAACGGGATTAGATATTCATGTGTTTTAATTAAAAAAAATTAATTATGAATGTTTGAAAGAACTTCACTAAAACACCGGAAAATCATATACTGATGTAATAAATTTTCGTATTTAAGTTTAATGTATCATGAAATGTACCCAATGATTTTCTGGTGTTTGGGAGAAGTAGCTCTCAAACAATCATAATTAAATATATTTTGTTAAAAGTCAAGAATTTCGGATCCCGTTTAATAGTTGTTGCAGTGCAATATGTACGTTGTGATTAATATAACGATAAAAATGCACATAGTATGAAATAAACACGCACACACACACATTCTCTCTCTCTCTCTCTCTCTCTCTCTCAATCTTTATCTATCTCTATCTCATTTACATCTCTACATATACCTCACCTTCTTTTCCTTGTTCTCACCCTCTCCTTCGCAGTGACGGTTTGGTTTTCTCAATCTACATCATCATCTATTTTTGTTGTATCGCCTATATACTAATTCAAAAACTTTATTTAGATATATAGATATATTTAACTAACTTATATAACAACAAATCTACCAATATTTCTCTCCCACAGTCCTTCACTTATATTTTCCTTTGTATCGTTTCTCTCTCACTCTCGTGCGCGCTCACACAAACACACAGACACACTCTCGCTCAGTCACTTCCTTCTATCTCTTACATTATTTCTCTCACTTTCTGTCTTTTTCTCACTACCCCTACTTCTGGCCATGTCCACAAATAAAATTTACGGAGGCCAAAAATTTATTTCAAACGGAACTTTTATAAAATCAAAATTTAGACTCATTTCAAGTTGTAAAATATTAGAATCGTTGGAATGAATTGTGTTGATAAAATCAAGCAAAGCCCCGTTCTTATCGTCGATGCCATTTAAACTGGACAGTGTGCTACTTCGTTGACTAGTACAAGAGATAAAGTCATAAAAATAAACACGGCCGTCATATAAGTGTTGTGATTGTTGTTTCTCATATAATTTCGGAAAATCGCGCTCCCACATCAAGATTGTTCGAGTTAAATATTTTGAACATTGTCTTCCAATGGGCAACAGAAAAAAACATAAACAAGTGTATACACAAATATTTAAAAAACTAACAACATTTCACTACTAGTATTTAGTAACTTGGATGTGGAGGATAATATAACTCACCATACAATATTCAGTAGTCAGTAGTAGGCTGTCAATCCACTACTTGAATTTTTTTAAATATTTACCATCCCAACAGCATAACTGTAATCGAATAATTTTTAAAATAGTGGCTTTCATCCAGACTTTTAATGTAAATAATCCATTATGGCTTATCTTCTCTTTCCAGTGTTTTATTTTTTTTATTTTTTATTATTTGCTTATTTATTCACAAAACGACATCTTATACATAGGGAATTTATAAAAATCGGTGACTCAAGTGTTCCTTGGCGCAATAGTGTTCAATACCTTGGTTTACACCTCGATAGCAAGGCTTAACTTTGGTATCAACACTTGTAAAAAGGTTGATAAAGGGAAGTGTGCTATCAAGACTCTGTTCCCTTGTGTAGAGAATCTGGGATGAGCCACCAAAATAAACTCATTATATATAAAACCATAGTTGGACCAATGCTGTTATACGCTTGTCAGGTATGGAGGTACACAAGTAACACCAATATAAAGTGCCTACAAACTACTCAAAATAAATTTTTAAGGTTAATTACATCCTCTAAAAGAAGTGTTCGTATAAAGTTATATGCACGAAATTTTAAACATCCCATACATTAAGGATGATATCAAAAGGATAACTAGCTCCTTTTATAAACGTATCGCTGAGAGTACAAATATGGCAAAAAAGAATATAGGAAACTATAACCTCAACAAAAATTGGAATCACAGGAGGATCAAACACATTTTAGTATGACTGCTTTGTATATTTATTCAACTGTGATATTATTTATTAAATTAAATTTCCCCTTGTATTCACTTTGTACAAAATGTAAAAGCATCTAATAGATAAACTCAAAACTAGAAACATTTTTTCTGACAAAATTGTTGATTATCATAGCAAAAATCAGTGTCTAACATAAGAAAAAAATAAAATCATCAAACTTTTGATTAAAAAGTAAATAAATTAAATTCGATAACTGCAAGATTGTTCAATGTATACACCTTCGTGTAGGTTTATTTTATGGTTATTTCAATAACCCTCTCATGTTTTATTGGCAGAAGTGAAAATCGACATTTGAAATAAATCTTAAAACATACACAATTTTTAAAAATGGAGTTTATACTGTATAGATAAATCTCAGGAGAGTAATTCGTAAACGATCAGGGTACCTTCATCGTCCTCGAATTCTTCTGACAAGGGAAGATCGTCGCTGGCCGGATCTTCCATCGTCTGATGACGTGAACAGAACTCCACAAAAGCCGGGAAGGCACTGGTGAATGGTGAATCAAACGCCGGCTTGGTCTGAGCCGCCCCCCTTCTTCCGCCCCCGTCACAAAACTACCCCCCTCCGTTTTATAATTAATTGAGAATTAATTCTCTTATTCCTTAAACACATAAAAATAAAATTACGACTTTTTTAAAATATAAAAAAAAATTAGCTTCAATAGAACGTAAGCTGTTATGCAACTTTTTAATTGTCTGTATTTCCGGCGATTCGTTTACTTTTATATCCTTCATTTAATTGTTTTTTTTAATTACTAAAATAAACATTCTTCCTTCAACAATTTTATTTTCATATTGGACGTAGTTTCTTAATTTTTTTGTGTGTTCATTTTTTAAATCCTTACTCAAATCCAATTGATCGAAACAGCAAAGTTGGAAAATACTGATGTGTAAGAATGGAAAAAGTGGTAAATATCCCTCCTATTAGGATAATAATGAAACTACAAATGATTAAAGAAATTATTGAAATTAATTTTTTACTTATAACTAAAATACTTTTGGGACAAATGTGTTCCTTGGGTTCGTATAGAGAGCGAGTTGAATGCCATGTGTATTTTCCCAAATGTATGTAGAGTGAGTTTGACTTCGGTCACCCCTCCCTATATTTTTAAAACAGAGACACGTAAACTTATTGTTTGTTTAGTTTCTCATGAACCAAAAAGTTTGATTCTAACTTTCCAGGATAGCGAGATAAAAACAGGGGTTTAACTATTTCACGCAAGACACTTTCTGCAAGATACTTTTTGAAATTTACGGTATATTGAATACCCATCGACCTGAATTAGATGAGTTTGTAGTAAGTGTATCCAGTACTCCATGAGAGCATTTGATAATGAATGATGGTGAGAATGTGGTTATTTGGCCTTATATGACCTAGCTGTCTAGAGTCACAAGTTTCTAATCGGTGGCCATGTCAAGACCGAGGTTTGACTCCAACAATGCCGAAGTAGTTATCCACAATTTTGATGTTCCTTGTTTAGGCCTGTCAGACGCGTTTTCTCGTTCTTCTCGCCATCTTCGATAATGGTTGTTCAATTAAGGAATCTGGCAGAACGAAATAATCGGAAACGACTAAAGTACCTTTGCGTTGTGAGATTTCCTGACTTCGGGGATTCTTTACTAGTTTGATATCATTTTGGACAGACGCCTTAGTTAAATAAAGCCACCAGCTAAAGGACCAAACAACAAATTCATCACCCCTCAGGCCCGAAAGGAAATCGAACAGTATTGGAGAAGGTGATTTTGAGGCTGGAATTGAGAATTCAAATAGTTAAAGAAAAAAAACACAGTTAAATATTTTTAAATTATTTTTTAACATTGTCTTATAACATCAAAATGTGATGTTATAGCCATTCTAGCAGGTTCACCTCTTCGATCTTCAACATCTTTTCCTCTTAATCGACCCGCACAACCAGATTGGCTCATATGATTTTAAAAATGAATTTAAAAGTTTAAAAAACATCATGAGAGCTTTATATTAAATAGTTTTTTATATGGATAAAAACGGACACGGCGAGTAAGGTGATGGACGCTTGGATATATTCTGACGATGCGAACATTTCAAGATTATACGCTTCTTCTATAGATCCGTACATGGAAGGATAGGGATGCTGGCCGCAGGCGGGTCCCCAGGACAAGATCCCGATCACGTAACCATTGCAGACCAAAGGACCACCGGAATCGCCTTCGCAGACGTCCTCTTTGTCTGGAGCTTTGCCACAAACCTGATTTCGCCTACCCAATTCGCCCTCAGGTAGACACCTCATGACTGGCTGTTTGCACAACTCCGTCTGGCAGGTCGACAGCGACCACAGCGTGACATCGATTGATTTTAACGTTTCCGACGGGTCCTTATAAACAAAATCGTCCGCCTCTTTGTCGAACTCGACCGTCTTGTAACCCCACCCGGCCCCTTGGCAGACGACCGATTTGTTGATCATCTCTTTGATCTTCGTCCTCAATTCGACCGGGTTCCACGAGTAAACGGGGATCGTGCTGACGGTATTGCCCTGGTAGTAACGGCTGAACGGACGGCTCAGGGTGTAAATCCCGTAGTCGAACGTCCATCCGCCTCCTTTGCCCAGGCCGCAGTGGATGTGCCGTTCCGACTTGTAAATTTGCATGACCTGGCGTCCCTCGCTGTTGTAATTTTCCACTCCCGCCACGGCGATGATGTCCCTCACCAGAAACATGAAAGGCAGCCCGGTCCTGAACGAGCACATGCAGTGGCATGCCGTCAAGATCCTATCGAACGAGATCAAATTCCCTCCGCAGAAGTGACCGTGCGTCTTCCACTGAAGACTCACCAAGAACGGATATTCGCCCTTTTTAGCCTGCCTGCCTCCGACCACTTTTAGCTCCGCTCCCGTTGTTGAATCCTTTACATTAAATGTACAAAATATTGTAAGAAGTAAAACTATTATCATCCCGCTTAAAAATAAATATCACCACCATATGTTGAACAGTTTTTTTATTGAGATTATTAAAAAAGAATTAAGACGGAAATTAAAATTTGTATTATTTTTATTACCATGTGAATTCAAAAAACAACGAATAAAACACACTTTTTCAAAACTTAAAAAAAAAAATACAAAGTATTTACAAAATTTTTACAGATAGGTACATACATTTATTGTAGTCGTGGTATGTTAACAATTTTCAGAATAATAAAGGTGAAAACAATTGTACCTATTAAATAATAATAAAAAAATGTTAAAATAATCAAACATATATTTTTTGCATTCTTTGTGAATGACTACTATTATTATTGTTTGATGATCTTGATTGATTGATTGTTCAGAGTAATAAAAAAAATAATGTCCTCTTTATTGATCTAAAAGGAAAAAAACAAGCTTCTTAAGTATTGAAATTATTTGGTCAGAAAAAATACAAACCTCGTCCTCATCATATTTTCCCCTCATCCCTCCCATTGTTTATTTATATTTTTAAACTCAAAAAAGGGGAAGATATGGACATGTGATCATCAATTTTAACAAAACTGTTTTTTTATAGTACTAGATCAAGCTATTAGATACGTGTCTGAGTGTTCTTGCCAATGATCCTTAGAGCCGATAAAAAATATGTATTTTATGTAATTTACTTCTTTTTTTTAATGAAGTTTTCTGCGTTGGGTATGTATTTCAAAGATAAGATCTATCAATTGGTTGTTTTTTTTTTTTAGGTAGAATAAGAAAATATTTAGGGTCGTATTAAATGATGTATAAAAAAGTTTACAAAAACTGAACCTATTTCCATATAGTAAAACAAAAAATATTAGTTAAAAATTCGACAATTTGGATTTGTTTTAATCAACCTTTAAAACACTTAAAAATATAAATTTTTATTGATTATTCGGAAATCGAAAGATAATCTTCTTGTGTTGAGAGTGCCATGACACACAAGAATGGCACAATTATGCAGAAAACAAACACTTTGAGCCCTTAAGATGATCTCAATAAAGATTGAAACATTGGCATGACAAAGAAAATGTTTTTTCTAAAATCTACGTCACACCAGACCACATATCACAATTTCTGAATAATCAACGACTAACGGTCACTAATCACTACATTTATCCTAACACAAACTTAATTATCCCAACAAAAAAAAAACGACATTTTTTGGTCGGATTAACTAAGGGGGATTTTTGTATTTATTGGATCCAATAAATCAAATAAATTAAAAAAAACAAAAAAAAAAACAAGTTTTACAAGTTGGGATAAATGCAGACATATAAAAGTTTTTGATGGAAATTGTTTCAATCTAGGTACAGTCATTGCTTACAATTATATTGTAAAATTTATTTCAGCACTTTTTCCTGGAGAAATTGATGAAGCCTTTTAAGCTTCTCTATTGTAACAGGATCGATATTGGTAAAATTTGGGACATTTTCTAAATTCTCTTGTGGCATGACTGCAAAAACCTTTAAAAAATATAAACAAAATGAATAAGAAGTGTGGTATAGGAATAAAAATTTGAAAAAAAAAATTTACCCTTCCATCCAATAGTGGGATGTGTAACTGAGGCTCCTCGGTATCAGAGTAGAGGGGTACCATCAGCGGGCTTCCTGACATTGAAATGACCTGTTCTCCCATTATTGGCTTTCTATAAATCGGTCCAGGAGTTTGACACTTTATACTCGGCGTGACAGCCGCCACACGGTACGGTGTCTGATTTCTTGCCGGTGTTTCAAATGTATTTGATGATAATTTTTTATCTGAAAATAATAATAAATTTTTTTTTTTTTTGGGGGGGGGACGATGAATGAAAAATGGCTTACCATTTGATAAACTTCTAGAACTTCTAAGCTTTCGAGTTGACATTTTGTTTATTTTAGGTACCTTTACGATAAAGAGAAACAAAAATCTTTTACATTTTATACATAAAGCGTACTATATGTAATACAGTTTATTTGTTTGATACTTACAGCAGACCTTCCTCGGGTCATTTTCTTTTTGGGCACTACTGTTCCTAGGATTAAAGAAAATACATTAATAATGAAATAAAAAATGAAACTGAAATTTACCTACTTGGAGGTGGCATCTCATTTATTGAATTCCGATTAGACTGGCCTATGCTCTAAAAAAAAAAAAATAATAATAATAATAAAAAAAAAATAACGTGAATAGAAACTATGCAAAAAATTCAGATGACTGAATAAAAAACACTTATGAAACTGTTTAAGTAAAAACTAATACTGATGTAATCCATTCCAAATTTTTATTATTATTAATCTTTCCGCCTTACCAATACATCAACCAAGGTTTTTTTTTCTTTGTCTTTGAAAAAGGTAATTAAAAAAGCAATTACACCACTAGAAAGGAAATTAAATGGAGTATGTTTTCTGAATTTTTGCAGGTCTCTAGGTTTAGAAACAGTAGTTTAGAATCACTATAGTAAGTTTTTCAACTTTGATTTTTTTTTTTTACGTTCTGGCTACTAAAAAAGCTTATTTCACCGAAATTTACAAGTTTAGTATTGATCACATCTTATTGGAAATTTAATGTAGTTTTCAATTGTATCAATGCATTTGTCCAAAACCTTTTAGTTTTAGAGTTATCGTTGTTTGAAGCGATCGTGAAATCTTAAAAAATCAGAAAAGTGGAATTACTCCGAAAGTGTTGAGATTCGGGCCATAGTTAATTAGTACTTTTGGGTGCCATTTTGAATGTAGAATCTACTGGCAAAGATTTTTTATGATGGCGTTAATTTCTGTTATGATCATTTTAATTTAAGGCAACCATGTAGGAAGTGTAAGAACATATTTATTTATTAAATTTGCCATCGTGAGTATTATTTTTATTTTTTAAAGTCTTGGCTGAGATGAAAAAGCTAGTGTCACGAGCAGGATTCAAACCCCGAATTCGTAATAAGTAAAGTTAATTTGTTTTTAATATTACTTATTTGTACTTTCCTTTGTTTATGTCATGTGCTGTGTTTTGTAAATCACTTTTCTCATCTACTAAAATTAGTATTATAAAGAATAGGCTTTTTTATTATTTAAAAATAAGTGTTTTTTTTGTACGTGAACAATATTTGATTATATAAAACATAAATAGTTACATTATATAAGAAGATTAATTATTAATGTCACAATTTTTATTTTACTAATGTTAAGTAATCTGTCAACAATTTCAGTAAATAGCCACCTATCATTATAAACATTGTCGACTTACATGTCCATTTTCTATGGATCCAGTTTTGAACGCTACAAACATAGAAAGTGATTAGTAATTCAATAAGTAATTATAATTATATAATAATTAATTATAATTATAAGTAATTCAATTCCAGTTAACCTGTGAGATTATAAAAAATGACAATAGTTTCAATTATCACATGATACCTTTAATGACACAATCACGTATACTCATACAGTCATCCTAAAACAAAAACAAAAACATCTTTAGATGTAAGATACTTTATATTTGAAAATATTGTGTTAAATACACATATTGGACATTGTTCCTTCAAGAATTAACAAAGAATCTCATGCAGATTTATAATGCTGGACACTCGTGGTCAAATCCAACCAGCCAAATGAAGCATCGCTGCCCAAATACCCACATCACTGGCGAACCTGAGCTGCAGGGCTGAACATTCAACCAGACCAAACGCCATCACGCTACTCCAAACTAATACAGTGTGGTGTTTGTGAATGGGAGAAATGTCCATTTTATATCAAGAATTTTATTTAATGACCTGGAGACAGTAGTCGTTGCACTCAAAAGCACAACGCCCCTAGTCCTGACTGAATCACAGTTGATTTCGATAAATAAGGGCCCCTAGTGTTTTTACATGTCTCCCTAGATTGTTTAATCATATTTATAATTTAGGTGCTGATTCTCTATCTTTTGTTAAAATGATTATATTCCCTCATTTTAATCATGGCGATATCAATATGGGGAATTTCATGTCTAGACGACACAGCCAGCATTTTTTCTAACCTCCTGGCTAATCACACAGCTTCTGAAGTTTCGAGGAATGATTTGCTCCTTGAATACCAAATGGGATTTAGAAAAGGATACTCCATTTTCAATAACGTCTTTACTCTTTAATTTAATTAATTTGGAAAAGCATAATCAAAAGCTGTACTGCATTTTTGTTGATCTCAAGTCAGCTTTTGACACTGTTCACTGGAGGGGTTTTCTCCTAAAATTAAGCAATCTAGGAATATCAGCAAAACCTCTCTATCATAAATCAAGAGTGGAAGGTAAAGCCGAATTGTTTGATTTTTGTTTCAAACAAGGGTATTCCAACTGCTAAGTTATAAGTGTGTCAAGTTTGAATGCAGGGCCGCTGATTTGAGCCTGGGACCTTTACCTTATGATGATGAGTGCTGTGTCAACACCATAAGTTCTTAAAACTGACTAACATCCCTAAACAATATAGAAAAAGGGGTTCTTCATATTTATTCAGAGAAAACATCGGCTGTTGGCAGAAGAATCTCCAGCAAATACCATTGCGAATGTTTAAAATTGGCCAAATCTAGTCAGATTAGATTTACAGTCAGCTCTCCCTAAATACAAGTATGTTTAATTTAAGTAAAGAAAATTTAGAAGGATTGTCACTGAAGGACCTTAGATGATGGTTTAAATGCAGGTATTATCTGAACTCTGAATTGCTTCTGGGGTGGAAATGGGTTGGGTTCGCTCTGCAACGCAACTCAGGTGCAATCATCGACCAACAGGTACGACTTTGTTCATGGTCAGTCAGATTAAACCAGAATAAAAAAAAAAAAAATAAAAAAAAAAAATAAACATTCACCAGAAGTTCGACTTTGTTTAGTTTTATATTCATCATTTGAATTTATTTTTAATATTATGTATTATTTTTTAAAGTAATGTATATGAAATTCTTGTTTGATGACACATTGCAATGAGCTCCAGCATTGTAAATCACATTGGATGTAAATAAGATTCTCGAGTGTAAACAAAATTTTTGTAAATAATATTTTTATATAGTATTTTCTATTCTATTCAATCATAGGCCAGCCCCTGTTACAAACTATCTGAAGCTTGCTGCAGACATTCTTAAATCTGACTTGTCTATTGCGATCTAAAATGACTGGACACAACTTTCTTCCTTTATTTTTTTATTATTATTATACTACCAAGAAAAATGTACATATTAGTACTGATCTATAAAGCTAGGGTCTATAGTCTTAAGCAAGTCTATACATTTAAGTTCAGAAATTTAATTGTGTTTTAAACATACATGCACATAGCCTTTATCAAATGCAACAAACCTCTATAGTATCGAAACTGCAGAACTCCTTGTCCCCGGCAATGTTTCGAACATGCGGAATGAAGTTTGCAAAGGCTTTGATTTTGTGCTTTGTTATTTGGAACATCGCATTCAGAGAGGATTTGGAGTTTTGAACTGAAAATAAAGAGATAATCAACTGTGTTCTCAGAATACAAACCAAACGAGTCTATACCACAAGAGTCCAAGTCCGGCTTCTTCTGGTTTGTGCGTATAGGTGAACTGGCTGCCAGGGGGCTGCCGCAGGCTGTTGTATCTCGAGTCTTGTTCACCTTTCCTTGAGGCATCTGGGATTTGAAAAACAATAAAAGCAAATTAATATTATTACTTAATAAAATTATGTCAAATTATTTACAAAAGTCAGAATTCTCTTCAGATTAGTCAACATTAAAAAAAAATTAAAATACAATATATGCAAACAATATATTGTTTCTTATATTCCTGTTCTGCTAGGATAGGCGAAATAGGATGACCAAAGAACCCCCAAACTACAGAATCATCACCACTCCACAGACCTAAACCGGGGCACCTAAACATCTGTGATTTCACAAATCTATTTACGTAAAAGTGAATATTCATATAAGTGTTAATGATAAGAACAAAAACTATTAAACTGATTTTGATGAAACTTTCACTTTGTTTTTATTAATGCCAGGCAGGTTTAGAGACTAGAGTCATATAACAAACAATGGGTGTCAAGATTTATAAAATAGAGAAATAAACACTTTTTATTTTGAATCTTTGTCAGTTTTGTGTACATACCTTTTAACTAACCTAGCCTGACTGGCTGTGTTATAGTAGATGTTGGGGTTTGGTCTGCGAGTTGGTAAACAAACACAGCCAGTCAGATTACGTTACGTAAAGGTATGCATGGTTCAACATGAGTTCACCGACTCGCAGACCCCTTCATCTACTTTTTATTTTCCCCCTGGCAACGCCGGGTTGTAAAGCTGATGCTTGATACAATACAGCTCATCGATCATTCCAGTGAGACGATAAAGGGAGGCTAAGGACTAAGGAACCAACGAGAATAGAAAATTCTAAGTTTCACAGTTTTGACTTTTTAATGCTTTGACGGTGGCCTGTCTATCTGACTGTTTTTGTATTCTCTGTTCATATTGATTTAGTCTACATGGACTTCTTTCTTGAAATACTGATGTACTTAATTCGCTGTAAGATGTGGGCCCAAATAATCCTCCCCCTAATTTCTTGTGACATGTAAAGATTGGCATACGAACAAATCAAAACCTCCTTGAATGTGGGGTTTTCCACCGGATATATCTTTCAGATACAGTAAATCGTTCAGATGTTGCAAATAGATAACTGATGAATAAATAAAACAGGTAGTTTGAAATTTAGACATCTGGATCAGACAATCATTTCATACTATTGTAAATGTGCTGCCAGTATAAGAGCTTATTGGTTACATTAATGCTACGAGCAAATACACTCAGTAAAACAAGTCTCCCAACCTTCAATGATAAAGATAAAAACCTTTTAAATGAAAATAATAATGGGCTAAATTGATTACAACACAATGTCTCGGAACTATAAACTTTAATCAACAACATAAACCATGTAACAAGTAATAGTATTTCTGAGATACAAATTAAATGATGTACATGTATAGTTATATGTTTCAAGCAAACAAAGTCTCTGAACAGATTATTTTTCATTTGTTTATTTACTAACACCTATCTAAACATTATCTAAGAAATCTGTAAGACCACCCCTACTTTTTATTACTGCTAAATCAATGATTTTCGATAGTTTTTTTGTAACATCCAGGGATGTCTTAGTCCACTCCTGTAAAACCTCTTCTTTCATTTTTTTTACGCTACCATCTAATATGATCCCAAAGTGCTTGGTAGGGTTTAAATCAAGCAATTGGAGAGGTGTCTGGAGCTGCCTACGAACAATAGTTGTCATTCTTGAGTTTTCTGGGCCATGTGTTAGGGGTTGATGTCTTGCTATAAGGAAAGTCCTTTCTATATCTAATTTAATGTTTTCCTTCAAATTCTGTTGTGGATGATATATTAATCCCATCAATGTGTAAATGGCAATCTTCTCTATAGCCATACAGCCCGAGTCAAGCACCTCACCGGCCCATGTTTTACTGTCAGAAGTGTATTACATTTGCTCTCATCAGTGAAAATCACAGTCTACCAAAAATTTTTCTCTTTCTTAAACACTCTTTAGTAAACTGTTGGCGCTTTTCGCTGTTCTTCTTGCTTAGTGCTTCTTTCTGGGATTACATCCGTGCATTGTTTTTAAACAGTTTTTCACACTGTTTGGGGCAGAACTGAAATATTATAATCCTGATACAATTTTGGGAACATAGAATACAATGCACTTTGAAAATGGCACACTTTTGAATGGCGTTCTTTTTTTCTGGGTGGCCTAAACGGGTCTGTTTTCACCTTGCTCCTTATACTGGGAGATGATGCAATGAATTGTTGAGGGTCACTTATTAAGTACATTTCCTATTTCATAAAATGATTTTCCTTCATTATACAATCTAAGACTTCCCGAATGAACTGCGGTATTTCCATATCAAAGGCTAATATTGTACTAACTACCGTAGTCTCTTGTTATCTGCAGGGTATATATACAAAGCATCACCGTGTATAACAAGAACAATGGATAATAGGAAACACCTACAATTTTAGGCTTTGAAGCATTTTCTTCCATCTGCATACCAATCAGACACTTTCTGTACCTTGTGTGTCTATCATCAATGTTATGTATGAACACACTTATGGACACACACACACACACGCACGCGCACGCACGCTGAGAAGCAAAAATAAGTGGCCACCCTTAATATTTTTAATTATTTCTTAGACAATCGTCCATTCATTATCTTACAATATTTTAAAGATTAAAGGCAATTAAAACAGATTAAATCTCCCACTTGAGTTTAAATCAGATTTTGTAAATAAATCTGAATAGTCAATCTTTTCTTTGTTGGTTTTTCTGTAAAGCTTCTTTCTAACGTTTCGGTGGCTTGATTTTTTTTAAGTTGTACAGTTTGAAGTTTCAAATAGTTTGAGTGATGGTTTTAAGATTTGGCTAGAATCTTAGCATTGTTGGAAGATGGAAGGAGACAAGGGTATGTCGCCAGGATGCTTAACATTCCCAGAACAACTGTCTGAAGGGTCTTCCATTGCTACCAAGATTCTGAATGTTACTCAAGAAAGTATGAATCAGTTCACCATCGTTTCATATCTCAGGGAGATGATTATTTTGTTGTTTCAAATGCACTCGACACTGCAATCGACATTCTAACACTGTTGAGATCAAGCAATGACTTTAACAAGTTAGAAATGTTAACGTCAGTTTACATAACGCAAAGACTTTCAGATGATGAGATTACATGGGAGAAGACTTGCCACTAGTCCAGTACTTTTGACAAGATATAAAAGCTCGGTTAAGTTTTCAAGACTCATCAATTGGTCTGAGCAAGGTAGGACTAAAATTTTCTTTTGGATGAGTCGAGGTTTTATTTGAGGTCTTCTGACAGTTGAGAGAGAGTTTGGAGAACAGGAGAGCGAGCTATCCAAAACATTTTCACTCCTGACAATTTATGTAGGTGGTGGTGTTATGCTTTGGGGAGGCATTTATATGGAAGGTCGCACAAACATCATCTTCATCAAGGGTTCCCTAACAGCTGCACGATAGATTAAAGATGTGTAATCAAAAGTTGTTCCTTATATGGCGCTGGTTTTACTTTTATGCATGACAATGCAAGGCCTCAAACAGCTAGGATTTGGTGACAACTTGGAACGGGCTTCTTGAATTGAAGTTTGGAATGACCAGCATACAGTCCCAACCTTATACACCTTTGGAACGAGATGTAAAAAGCTGCCCAGTGATGTCTGAAAATTTGCAGGAATTAAGAATAGCGCTGTTGGAGGAGTAAGAAAATATTCCAGCACTACATTTAAAACCTCATAAAATCGATGTTAATGTTAAACAAGCGATGATCAATGTACTGAATTGAATATTTTCTTGGTTGTTTCCATAGCAACATTTTTGATGAAATTGTTTTAATCAGTTTAATTTTTTATTTAGCTATAACTTATACGTTTCTTTAAAAAATATCCAGTAAACAACAAACAATAAAAGTTATAACAATTACAAGTGCTCATTAAAAACCATTTTTGCCTCTTAATTTTTTTAAAATAAGAATGCAATTATGCTCTTTTTCTATGTTTCACCACCTTCCTACTCTCATATCTTTCTCACTCACCTGTAGAACTCAACAAAATGGGCAACCTTAAGCAAAACATGATTGCTATTAAGATAATATTGCACAAAGTAAACAAAGTATCAGGCTGTAGACTGTGAACTTTGTTGGGAACTTATTTCGCCTCTCGATTAACTTCAAACTAATTAAGAATACAAATAACCTTGTATTCTTAATCATTTATTTTTCAATGTTCCCTTTAAATACTAAAAAAATGTACAAGAATGTTTTCAAATCCAACGACTTATGAGAAAGTAGGATCTCCCATTTTGGGCAAACCAATAGGTAACTGAGACTTTTTACTGAGTGTAGGTACAGGCCAAATAATAATAGTTAGTTAACAATAGTTAAAAAATTCAAATTAGACAAAGCACACGGTATTTGATTGACTGGCTGTGTAAAAGTTAAGGAAAAAATTGACAGCCTCTCCTGCATGATGAGTATTGTTCAAGTAAGTCTTTTAGATGGATTACTAATAAAAACATTATGCCTAATCTTTCTAAGTCATTAATATGTCTTTATTAATTTCAAAACATTGGTCAAACATTCAAAACAATGGTTGATTGTGTACTCAGCCTGTTTTGGAATACGATTTTCTTACCTTTTCTGTCAACAGATCGGCGTTTTATTTATTAAGAAGCCACGGCACTTTTTTTTTCCCAGTCTGCGAGGCCGAACATCAATCCCGTAATAAAATCAAGCCCACTGTAAAGTTAAACGATACAGAAACCTGTGGAGTCAAGTCAAGAGTGTAAACTACACAGTACACAGCATTCCTTGGCGCAAAAAAGCTGTTAAGCAAGATTCGATACATCGATATTTGCGACTTGTCTATTAAAGATCGAAGGAAAACTAACAGATTATATTCAATAAATTACTAAGTGATTTAAACATAAATAATAATAATTAAAGTAACAAAAACCGATTATAAATTTGTTTAAATATAATAAAAAATACACCATGCTTTAAAGGCTTGGGAGTTTGTTTTTAATAACATCAAACCTTTTAATACATAAACAAATAGCAAGTCGTCGCATTTTTAAATTTACAAATAGCATCATAGTTTGGCTATTAAATTAATCCAATAAATATGTATAATAAAAAAATGTAATAAAAGTATCGATACTGATCGAGCGCAACAAGTGATTAGGGAGGCAGAATGCTTATGGCTGACATATCAGTTCCACTATCACAATCGATCCGATATTTTATTTCCTTTATGGAATAATGTTCTGTTTTGAGAAGTTTTAATTTAAGTTAAGTTTAAGTTACGGGTTCGTCCTTAAGACCTTTTGAAACTAAAGTTTAATTATGAGTTTGCCGCATGGTGGAGCGACAGCAGCAGGAGAATCGATAGTGCTGAGTGCCAACGGTCAACCGTCAACGGTCAGTTACCCTTACTATACTTATTATCTAAAATTTTGTACCTTTTCTCGGTGTTTTGGTCTGCCAGACTCGTTTGGACATTTTGTCATCTTCAGCCGTTGGTTAGGATATAAGCAGGGTGAGGCAAAATATGAACGGTGTCTGACATACCAAAACAACTAGAGTTGGTAGATTGCCAATCTGTGAATTCATGCTGAATTGGTCGTCATTTATCGGGCCCGCCTTTTTTTTATTTTTTTTTTTAATTTATATTATAAAGGCGATCAACCGCTTTGGGTCATTTTCCGCCTTAAAAAACTTTCAAGCTGGGTGGTGAGTGGGCCACAGCTCAGGAACCCCCCGATAGCAGAAACCAGGGCCCCGGCAGCATCACACCCCTTCACAACCACCACCCGATGGGCATCCAAACCGCACCCCAAGACACCCCCCAACATTGAGTGGATTACAGATTATTGAATAAAATGAATGTTCTTTTGTATTAAATTATTATGTCATTTTATCTTCATATTTCCGAAATTAGTTTAGTTTTTTTAAGGAAAGTTACTAGTTTGTTTATTTGGTCGGAGTCATCGCCAAGCGAGTCTTTGATGTTGGTTGGAATTTCCAATTTGTCAAACTGTGTTTAACTGTTATTCTTTCTGTGCAAACATCACAAAGCGGAGTCTCTTTTTTTGCCATGAGATAAGAATGAGTAAGCCTACAATGACCAATTCTCAGCCTAGCAAGGACAACTTCTTCGTGCCTGGAACCTCTATGAGATGAGGCCCAAGGTTTTACACGGTTTTTTATCTACCTAAGTTTGACATTAGAAGTCGTTCCTTAACCATCGGGTCCGCCTTCACTTAACTTTGCTAAAATCGACGAACCCCCGGTTGAGACTATTAGGACAGGTCAGGATGACTGTAAAATACGAAAAATTTAAATTGTTTAAACAATTTCCAAGCAAAGAGACTGCTGGATCTTAACTTTATTTGTTACCATTCAGTGTGTAATATGAAATGTTCACTCTCTGCTCATGCTGTGGGACATATTTACAAATGGATCTAATTTAATTAAAAGGTTTCCTTTTATGAGGTAATGAGCCCGTAATTACAGGTAATTTTGACCTACTTATCCTCGCTGAGGTTTCAGTCAGACGCGTTTCTGCATCTGAATATATTCAGTGATTGGGGTGACAAAGAATCAGATTATAAAGCCGAATATTTCATAATAAGACAGTGAATATTTCTTTCAATGTATAGCGTAACCCAACACATTATTTGGTACCTTTGTTGGCGTCGTCTTTTTGTACCACGCATTCCTATAAATAGATAAACGCTAAGAAAGGATGTTTTGAAATTCAATCCCTAAGGGGATGATATGGACAATTTTTTACTATGTATGGACCGAAGTGACCTGAAGGGGAGAAGAACTTGAGAAACGAGATATTATGTTAGAAAGCCATAGAGGCACTCTGCATTGCATAAGAAAGATACATTAAAACAGAGACCCGCGTGGACAAAGTCGAGGGTAAAAGCTAGTGATAAATAGAAAATTCATACGATCATCTTACAAAACAATGGTACATTGAAGTAAAGAGTCATGATTTCAACATCAACAGGCGGATGCTTAATCGCATGAATCGCATAATCGTATGAATTACACAAATCGCACAGGGATCACATCTCCCCATATGCGGACGACCTTAAGATAGCAACTGTGCTTCGGCCTGAACAGTCCAAACCTTAAGAATTCCTCCGTTAGTGGAGGCAGAGGGAAAGACCCTTAAATCCCGAACAAAAGTTCTTTTTTCCCATTGAGGCCGTTTTTGGAAGTTTCTGGCTGCGTGTAGTGTTGACAGTAAGCCTTGAGGATTTCCTTGAGGAAAATCCTCCGGAGGTTATTTCCTCTTGTACATAATGGCTAACTTGAGACAATACTAGCGAGAATAGGCGGACCAGAATGATCGGAGTTGACAAGGTCTACAAACCAAACGATTTGTGAGATTTCTCCGTGTGGTCTGCGGGGTGATGAACCAACCTGCAATTTGTCATTACCGATCATTCTAGCCTACCCATCCAGCCCAGCGAAGTTAGGCAGGTCAAATTTGCTGCTTGATTGTAATCTAGAGTTGAGAAGGTAAAGCGCCTTTTGCCTTATGACCATCAAGAAAAAAATGCTCTTGTTATAGCTAATTTTTTCTTTGAGGTCTGCAGAGTTAGAAAGCTGTAGTTTGATCTTTTTGATCGTTTGCTCTGATCATGTTAAACCGCCACTGAATGTTGTGAAATGCTAAAATCCAAATCTGGCAGATCAAAACAGTAAAAGTAGAGTGAGTTAAGATTAAATCATGACGGTTTTACTCTTTTTGGCCAGATAGACATTCGAACACATTACCAGCATTGCCAAAACTATAGATTGTCCATTTTAGCAATATCTTTTTAAACGTGCCTTGGTATTCCTTTTCATGATTTCTTCTTTCGCCTTATTTTAAATCTTTTTTATCGTTGTTTTGTTTGATAAATTATCTATTTCTAACAAACTTTAATTACTTCGGCATTTCACATTACTTTTGTATAATCTGGAAGAAATTCGTCTGCACAGAACATTCTGTTTTTAGAAGGTTAGAGACTGTGTACACCGAGATTTGACCATTTTTAATTGACTCGACCAGCTAAGCGTTCTGAAAAAGTTAAGTCTTTTGTAAGTAGGGGCCGAATCAGATTTTGAGATGGGCATGTTTCCTAAAACTAACGAGGGAATAGCACAACTTTAGTTTTTATTATAGGCTATCTAATAAGCGAGGAGTGTTTCTATCCTAGCTGAAAAAGAGAGATACACATCATCATAAATCATTGTGTGAACGGAGAATATGGATGTTGTAAAATTTTATTTAGGAATGCATAGTACTTAAAACACATCCTTGTGATAGCACGCTTTTGAATTAGAGGGTCAAGGAGTATCTGCATTTCACTCGTTCTTTCTCAAATAAACTTGAAAATAAGTCTTTTACTATATTTTTTAGATCTGTTTTTCAAAGTATATGATATAAAAGTTACATTGTGAGGAGAAAAAAAATGAAAATTTTCCTAAGTTATCTATTTCGTTTTTATTTTTATTTGATCATATATTTGGCCAGCACACAAATAGCGCACTGTGCTAATTAAAATGTCACTCATTAAATCAATACCAGTAACAATAGCATGGAAAGCATAGAAGGATTTTAAAAGTAAACAAGGTATCGACAATGAAATTATAGGGAAATTTGAGCCGACAATTCTTTCTGTCGTTATTACATGGTAGGAATGTGACTACAATACTAAGTTCTTTTAAGTTTTTTCCTGTTTTGTGCAAGAGGACATTCGTTAACGGTTTCAGCTTGAAAAAATTCGATTTCAATAGGTGTAATAAATGTACCTTTCCTCTTCTACAAAAGGACTCAACTTCAACAAAAGGAAAATTGGGTTATTTTTAGGGGACCGATCGATCCCTCACTCGAGTTCGATGAAGAGCCGAGGGTTTGCAATTAGTTGAACAAATAAGAAGCGAGCCGGTAAACTTATATCAGGCTCGAACACTTCAATTATTTATTTATTTTTATAAATTTTTACAACTATTTAAAGTTTATTGTTTTTATGTAATTAAGCCGTTACGCCCCAGTTCCCTTCTTAAAGTCATACGATGTACTGTAATGTCTTAAACATTGCAAATGTACGACTTGGTCCGTGTCCAGAGCAAATGTACTGGTTCGTAAAATTTCCTCTCGACAGCATTGAACAGATTTATGATTAATGCTATCATTAATTTCTCGGAAAGTGGGCACATTAGTAAACGTTGTTCCTATCCTAATTTATCATCCCTGGAAAAAACCTTGCAAATTTGCCAGCATTGTTTACAGAGCTTGATAAACATTTATATTTTTCCTCTAATGGGCTGATGTTTCGATTCACCAATGTGCAAACATTTTATTTCAATTTTCTCCTCTAATATTTGTTTTTGAACGGCAAACAAGACATCATTTCAACAATACAACTCTCTTCTGGAAAATGATAATTTTGAACGCTTCTTTGGTATTTTAGCCCTTAACGTTCTAAACGTAGACGTTCAACAAAAATTAAAATTTAATAGCCGACTCCAAGTATCTTAGCAGGCCTCAAAATTTATTAAAAACCAAGGAACGCTAAAGTATGAATACTTTTCATTAAAATATTTTTTTTTTACGGTGAATTAAAAAAAAGACTCAAAGAATAAGCACCAATTCTGCTTTCAAGATCCGGGATGACTCTCCACCCGGGAATTGAAGAGTCGCCCGCTAATGAATCCTTCTTTAATTAAAAAGTAAACCACCACAAACCCCAAGATGATGCCTGACTTAGCACAACGTATAAATTA